CAAGCACCTACATTTATTAAAATAGTCCTATAAATGACTATGCAACACATGAACAACTAATCATAACAATCACTTAGTCCAACTAAGCTCACATAATCATTTAATCAAGGAAATCCCATTTCTAAAAATACTATGTACGTTTTTTAAAAAACTTAAACTGGGCAGCGTTTTTGAAATCAACATAACTTTCAGTACAAAACTCAGATGAATATAATTCAAGTTGAACTGAAATCCTAACACATGTATCTACAATTCTTATGAAGATACCGAAAGCAAATAAGGTCGTGTTCTAGGAAATAAATCATCAAAATTCAAAACTGAGTAGCAGTCAAAAATCGAGAACTTGTAACCGACCAGACTTCCGTATTTAATAGAGAACTGGAGCTACAGACATGTTTCTAATGAGATTCAAAAACTAAATGATAGCTAACTCAAATGTCTACAGCTTTGCTGAAGACCATATTGGCAAATAATCACTTTATAAATGAGTTTGGATACAAAATATTCGATTCATAAAGTCTGCCCGAGACTAAAGTATGATTTAAACAGCACCTCAGTATTTATCTTCTTAATCATGTTACCTACCTCTAAATTACATGGTTATAGTATGCTTAGAAAGCAAAAAGATAGCCCTACAACTTTCATTTAGAACACAAAAGCAGATAAGGTCTTTAAGATGGTGTCAAATCTACTAACATTTAACATTAGTTTTCTGCCAAAGAGTAAAACCCTACTTCATGTATATCTACAATCATATGAACACAACTCGAGCTATAGATATCAACTCAGCATGAATCCTATCTCATTAGAAAGCTAATCAACAGAACTATAACTTTTATGAAGACTACAAATTCACTAGATCACATTATGACACCATAAACAGGCCAAACATTATATAGACTCATGCTGCCGGTTCCAGAAAAAACTGCTTGCGCACTCGTTTTATAAAAATCATAAATCACTCGATATAACTCGGATTCATGAAATTCTAAAGGCTACAGAAAGCTAACAAGACGAGCTATATTTCATATGAATAACAAATTTTAAGAAAACAACTGCTTTTCATAATAGAGGAACCTTACCTCCTTCAAGAAAACGAAAATGTGGAGAAATGAAAGAGGTGTTGCTCGGTTCTTCTACTTCTCTCCTTATCTTGCTTGAAATCCGATTTTCTCTCTATTTGCTCAAGTTATTCAGGTTTTTAATTGTCTAATACAGCTAAGGAATGAAACACAAGAACATGATAAGAGGGGACATAAGATCTAGATCCCATCTAAACCTAAAACTAATATTTTACCAACACATGATGCCAAAAGAGAGGAACATGGTTCTCTACCTCATGCATGAGTATAGATTCGGTTTTGGTACTTAAAATGGCTGAACAAAACTTATTAACTTCATTTTTTATGCTTACTAAAAGGATTGAGAAGAAAATAAATTTTACGGAACCGAAGTCGGACTTAAAATCCGACAATAATTGAAAACCGAAGAATTTGACGACAATCAATTTTTCCTCTTCTAATTCGGTTTTTGTGGATAAAAATACTATTACAGTGATGGTAATATAATAGTCTTAAGGTCTTGTTGATTCGTTTTGATGTTCGGGTCGCAAGGGTTCTAAAACGAATTCAAACAAACAACAATTCGGCTTACGCGATTAAACTGAAAATTCAAACGACGATTGATAAAATAAAATCGAACGAGCTATATAATTACAGTATCCATATAATAATATAAAATATAATCTCAAAATTAAGATTCGATAAATAGAATAATTCGAGAAATTCTATAAATCGAACGGGGCGCTACAGGCATGTACTCCCGCCTTTGGGTAATGAATCCCCGTTCTGCGGCTAGCGATAGATGTGCACAAGAGTAATGTGGTTGTTGTGATTTTGATAGGAGATGAGACATGATGTGATTATCTTGTATTCATGCTGCGACCATACCATTTTGACATATGTTATTTATGTGCATAGTAGTGAGCACTACTTTTATCTTGTGCTCGCTCCCACCTGCTCTTCACGGATGCAGGTTAAGCAGGTGCCGGATGACGGGGAAAAGACGAGTGGGTTGGTCATGATTATTATGTTTATGATTTCGCTTCCTTTATGAATAAAGTGTGGTCTTTGAGACATGCTGAACTGTTTTCAAACTTGTCCGTGTCGGGATTTTGGACCCTTTATTTGATATTCGTATGTGAGTTATTTATGGAATATCATGTGTTTTTGATTATGCATGATATGTGGTTTAGCTAATAATCACGTGGAATCAAATTTTAAAAGGTTAATGAAAACCATGTGAACAACCAGATACGATTTGGTTGATGTTAAATGTTGTATAATGCCCATGATTTCGAAAATGAGTTCGAAAATTTTATACTGATTTTTGGAAAGTCCAGAATTTCTTTAAAATCAAAGTGGGGTGTTACAGTTTGGTATCAGAGCCATTCTGCGTTTCTGTAGACTGGTTTAATGTGTGAATATGTGTTTAGACCTTGTGTTATGACCACTTGTCTCCGTCACTCCACGCTGCTTAAGGTATGTTTTATATAAGTATCAATGAAAATACTTATAGTGTGAATTGTGATGTTTTGCACGAGTAGCAATGAAACTAGTTGTGATGTTTCGCACGATTAGAAATGAAATTACTTGTGATGTTTTACATGAGTAGCAATGAAACTACTTATGAGGTTTTGCATGAGTAGCAATGAGACTACTCATGAAGTGATATATATGTTGTTTTGGGGCTTAGGAAATCTATCCACATCAGGTTATGTGAACTCTAGTGTTTGACATTGAACTCTAGTGATATAGAGTTAAGTTCGGACCTAGAGATTCCTAGTTGTGAGTTTCAGTAATTATTATTGATATAAGTGTTGTTATAGCATTTTCTCGCTATAAGATTCGTTCAGTGTCCTTAGAGTAGAAACATTCATGACCCATCTCGAAAGAGAAAGGTTTAGTACCGAGTGAATCTCTAGTGTATGAGATCACTCGGGATATTAGAACCTCAGTCGTCGAGGACCGGGAGTGTCATTTAGATGTCGCGAATTGGTTACTAATCGAACCCCATAGTGTAGGAGAATCTAACGCGTACCACCGTCGTAACTCTCGAGAGTGGCTAAGCCTCGAGGGGGATGATGGTTGATAATTCTCGTATGTTAGATAGAGGGTAAGTCCTGAAGACTGATGCATGGATGAAAGATGACGACGTCGTCCATAGGACGAGTGGATTGCTCCGACATCGTGTGAATATCCTGTGTGGTGACTGCAAGGCACACAGTTGGAAAAGGTATGAATTTGTAGTTAAGCATGACGTTGTGGCTCTATATGATTCGAGATGTTAAAATTGATGTTATGAAAAACATGCTTATACAATTGAATTTGACGATTATTGCACAACTGGGATTCTTTAAAAACGTGTTATGTGGTGATCGTATGAGTTTATGTGAATTTGTTTTAAATTCAAGTTAGGACTAACCTCGCTATATCTTATATATGCGTATTTGAGATGTACGTTGTGATTATATATGGCTTGTTGATGCTCGGTTCATGAGTGTATGATTTTGGGTTTGCATTTAATTGAAAACTCCATGTTTTAGCCGTTGTTTGTGCTCAGATTCTCGTGGCCTACAAGTTGTTTTCTGGTTAGGTGTTCTTCATATATTTTGTAGTGCTTTGAGTTAGGTTTCTACGAGTTTTAGAATTTCATGATTCGGAGTTGGATTGAATTTGTTATAAATTTTTTAATTTGAAAATGCAAGCAGTTTTCAAAATTCCGAGCAGAATTGTGAATCATGATGTTGGGTTGTTTTTGACAATGTTAGTGTGACTATGGGAAAATATGATCAACATGAAACTTGTAGTACATGTTATAAGCTTTCTCGGGAAGTTTAAATATTGCAATTTGGTATTTTATATGATTTTATAGGATTTTTCAAAGTTGGAGTTATGCCCAGATATTTTAAAACAGTAGTTGTATTTACGATTGACATGCATGCTCTGAAATGAGGCCCTTAACGTGATTATTTGTTAAGATGTCATTCAGGGAACTTGTAGCAATTCAAGTTTAGTTTCTATCGGTTTTGAGTTTGCATGATTCGGAGTTTTGTGGCATGAGATATTCCTGATTTAGTGACCTGCTGTAATTTATAAATAGTTTCGTTCGCAGATATATTTTTTTTGACCTAGGTGTTTTATGCTTAAACTCGGTTTTAATGTTATTTTTGGCTTAAGTGATCAACATAAAAGTTGTAAATAAATGAGTTAGGTATCTTGAAGATTTTAAATTTTAGTAATATAATGTTTGTAGCTTCGGTTATTGTGCATACACTGAGAACCTGTCAAGCTGTATGTCTTCATTTATCCACTGCACCTATGTTTTGTATGTTTGCTGTATTATGTGAATTTCAATGATTTTATCGGCCTGAGTATTCTTCATGAAAATGATAGAGACCTGAGTTAGGGATATTTTTCAAGTAGTTTTATCATGATACGATGTCTAGACGGGAAGCTACATGCATTTTAAATTCATCACGCATGCTGGAAATTGGTGCAAGTTCATGTTTAGGTTTCCAAATTGAGTTGTAAATTTCAAAATTAGTTTTTCATCAATTTTCATGTGTATGTGCCCTATGTGACTTAATCTGATTAGTATTATAATGTTAGCTGGAAACACTTGCAAGGGAAGCTTTACGCTAGACCTCGAAGTGTGAAAGCTATAGGTTGTGTATGTGGATTAGACTCGTTTAGAACTGCCGGAACGATTAGCTACCTGAGTAAACGCTATCGTGACGGCCAACACTGTTAGTCGGTAGAGTCAAACGAGCTAACCATTCTGTTGTTCGGTGTTGACCGTCGAGTTAGAACTTTTCCTGGCAGTGATGCCAATGTTCGATCCCTTTTGGTGAAATTGTTGTTGTCAAACCCTTTGTCCTGTCGGAGTACTTAAGAAATTGTGAGATTCAGAAATTGAAACTTCTGGTATGTGCCTCGAACCGAGTGCCGAACCTGACTGGGTGTAGCCACGCGAAGTGGTGGTCGAGCCCGCACGCCCGTGCTGAGAGACGTGAGGCCAACTGCAGTGGCCGATTGTTGACTCGCACGAGAGCTGCCGCTGCCATCACCGAACGCCAAACTCTCCAGGTCATTGTGTATGGCCAAACCTTGACCTTGTAGCTGGTATCCGAGTGGGTACATGCACGCATCCCAGCGCCCTGCATATGCAGCGCCAGCGTGTATGTCACCTCTCGGGTGACAGTGTATTAAACTTCGACCTTGTCCTTTTAGGGGTCTTGGAACTAGATTTTTTGGTCAAAATGTATGTTGATCCTTCGAGTCATTGTGTGAATGCCCTAATCAACAATCCCCGGTGTATGAGGTTTGTCGATTAGTTTCCCATGCCACTTGCAAGATTTTCTCGAGATGGCGAGATAGTAGTTTCATAGTAATGTGTGGCAGAGCCTTGAGTCTCGACTGGAGGCCGACTCCGTGAAAGGGAAATCGTTATTGAGTATCTAGCCTATACTTCCTAAACTGCATACGAGATGTTGTTCGTGTCGGGGAGGAGATAGACTTTGTCAGTGGTATCAAACAGAACCGTGTGTTCTAAATGTACCAGATTTGAGTATAAGTGATGATTGTCCGTCCTATTATGGTTTGTCGACCAAGTCGATAACTTAGCCCGATGATTGACTCCACTACCAGGACTTGCGAGGATGCATGACACGTTCTAGCCTCGTGATGGAGAGAATGTGTGCGTGATCTCGAGTTATGTGTGGATTGTGATGAGCTGCGTGATAGGCAGAACCCTACCTGTATGGAGGTACCGGTGACCTGTTGAGACGATGGTCCATCAGGGAAAGACCGGGAGGAGTACTTGTCAAAGTCCAGTAGTGGTAGTCGAGTCAAGGGTGAGACGACTTGGCAGAGGGCGGCCGAGGTTTGGAGGGAGTACCCAACCCTCATATTTTGATGTTTCCTTTTGGTACTCTCTTGCCTTCTAGTTGTTCGTTTTCTAATTCCGAGGACGGAATTCTTTGTAAGGTGGGTAGACTGTAACGCCGCGTTTGAATATGAATTAAATGGAATCTATTTTTGATTTATTATTGCTGCTATTATTTACTTATTATTATTATTAATATCATTATTATTATTATGTGTTTATTTATATCTAATTATCTCAATTGCCTAAATGATTTTATGTGCTTAATATGAATTGTATAAAAATTTTAAAATGTGTGTTATATTTATTTATATTTATATTTTGATTTTATTCTAATTATCAATCGATTAACCGAGCCCCGTATATTGATTAGTATCGAACCGAAAAGTCGACCCGTGAGCCTCGAACCCGCACTCGCGCACCCCGGGCCAAGAACCCTCACCCCTAAAATCCCATACCCGGTTCAATCTCAGCCCTTGTGCGTGTGTGTGAGAAACTTGGAAGAGAAGGAATAAAACCCTAAACTAGCCATCATCTATATTTACTTCATGAGATTTTTGGTGCCTCTTTGGAAATTAAGAAAGATTCATCTCTTCCTCGTTCATCAAGCCTTCCATCATCATCTTCCTAGTATCAGCATCTCTCTCGCGGGTCTATAGCCACCGAGCTCCACCACCATCAGTCAACCTCGCCCTTACCTGCAAGTCCCTCCATCCGGCGAGTTCTCCAATCGCAGCACCACAGGTCGCCGCCCTCCTTCACGTCTGAGATCATCCGCTGTTCGTCATCGCCAGAGAGGCCGCGACACGGAGGCCCCGTCACCTCACTGCAACCTCTCATCAAGCGTGCAACGATGCCGACGAATTTCCATTCGCGAACAGGCCACCACGAGCGACATCCGACGTGAACCTTTCCCCTTCCAACAGGCCCGCTGCCCGTCGCCAGACCAACAGCAATCCGACGCCGCCACAATAGGTTCGCCAACAGCACCTTTAGCTGCCGCCTCCGGAGCACGCAACCATTGTTGATCGTTCAAGTCACGACCATCTTTCCGACGTGGGTCTCCTTCGGGCCGTTCGCTCATCTTCGAGCCCTTGATTTCGTGGCCAGCCTCCCGTTTTCTCGATCGCAGCCTCTATCTCTTGCGAGATCCGTATCAGTCGCAACACGGACCAAGGCCGAGCGTAAGCCGCCCGAGGTTTGTGGGCTTTATCGTTCGGGTCCCATCCTATGGGCCGAAACGCCTCTCTTTGTGTTGGTACGGGACTTCATAGCCGGGATGCATTGTAATAGTTCGAGTGCTGGGTCGAGCTCGGAGGTCTTCAGCCTCGAAGGTTTCATGTCGGATATAGATCGGAAGAAAAGAAAGGAGTTTGTGGATTTCAAAACCTCTCGGCCAAACGATGTTAGGAGATGCGATCAAGAAGTGTACGATTTGTGGTACACCTTGCTTATAGGTGAAAACCCCATTGTCGATCACGAAGACGGTGTAGACAAGCTTGCTCAAATCCTACCCCAACCGTGGAAGGGTGTGGTTGTAGGAATGCGTTTATGAGCACCGGAGGAAGAAACCACTCGTTTTTCTGGATCACCCTCCCTTAAACATGTTTGAAGTGGTCGCTCACCTCGGTAGAAAATGGGAACGTAAGAAGGTACCATTGGAAACGAACTTCGGATCGTACCCCGCCACTGAGAGCACCGTATCCAGCCCTAACCCCGTCTCCTCCTCAGCGGAGTAAGGTAATGGATGGGTTTCCTAGGCATTGTTCGATTATATGCGTATTTTCAACTATATGCTTGGGTTAATATAGTTATATGTTGAGTCGAAACATTATTTGGATATAAATAAAATGGATCATTAGGGTTTAATGTGAAACCCTTATGATCTGTTACTAACTCGTGGTTGGCTCTTGGATTATGGAACATTTAATGTCTTTGGCCTCATGGTGAAGGCCTTAGATTTTTTGTGGAGTAATTAGTCTCTTATGCATTTTTTAATCGGGTATTACTGCTGAATCTTTGAAAAATCTTTATAAATTGTGTATTCAACCGATTGTTGCAAAATTTGTACTGTATGACCTTCTATTGATATAATATGTGGTGTAAACATTTCAAGTCGAAATGAGGTCTGTAGCTATGTCAAATGTCGATTTGAAATTCTGGACAGAAACTTCAAAAAATTATTACAAATTGAATTCTTGGTGTTTTGCTGTGATTTTTGGTGAGTGTTAGTAATCTGATGTTATGTGTGTTGTGTCCAAATTTCGTTGAAAAGTTCAAAGGTTTCCCTGTTGAACTAGAAAGTTCAGATTTTCATCGTCTCTTCGTGAAAATTGGTTGCTTAAGTTAAACTGAAGAGATGGGTCTAAAACTTTGTAAAAAAATGCCTTTCTGTGTCTATTTTAATGTGTAAAAATTTCAAGTAAATTGGTCGGGTGCTTTTTGAAATCGGTCGGTACTATTTTGTGTGTTCCCATGCTTCATGTAGAGTCGAGTAGAAATGTTCCATAACTCCACGAGAACTTTCCACGAGCCACTTAGTCGATGAGTTTTGACTAAGTTTATGTGTTCGTCGGAATTGATTGTAATCGAGAGGCTATCTTGATTTCGTGTAGGTGTTTTGAGGTGTTGACCTCACCGCTTACTCGAGCCTCGTTTTATGTTTGTTGCTGCCTTTCAGGTGGATTCTAATCTAAAATTGTTTATGCCATCAATGATGAATGTTTATATTTATGGGTATGATCTATGTATGAATATGAAATATGTAGCCTATCGATGTGAGCTGTTATGGCCGTCGGTACGGTTGTCCCCGTCGATGTAATATGGTTGCCCTTGTGAGGCAAGTCTCCTTAAGTCCTGATATGGTCGTGCCCTTGCAAGGTACGTAAGCCCATATGGAAGGCCGTGTCTGTAGCATGGCATGTACTCCCGTCTTCGGGTAATGAATCCCCGTTCTACGGCTAGCGATAGATGTGCACAGGAGTAATGTGGTTGTTGTGATTTTGATAGGAGATGAGACATGATGTGATTATCTTGTATTCATGCTGCGACCATACCATTTTGACATATGTTATTTATGTGCATAGTAGTGAGCACTACTTTTATCTTGTGCTCACTCCCACCTGCTCTTCACGGATGCAGGTTAAGCAGGTGCCGGATGACGGGGAAAAGACGAGTGGGTTGGTCATGATTATTATGTTTATGATTTCACTTCCTTTATGAATAAAGTGTGGTCTTTGAGACATGCTGAACTGTTTTCAAACTTGTCCGTGTTGGGATTTTGGACCCTTTGTTTGATATTCGTATGTAAGTTATTTATGGAATATCATGTGTTTTCGATTATGCATGCTATGTGGTTTAGCTAATAATCATGTGGAATCGAATTTTAAAAAGTTAATGAAAATCATGTGAAGAACCAGACACGATTTGGTTGATGTTAAATGTTGTATAACGCCCATGATTTAGAAAATGAGTTCGAAAATTTTATACTGATTTTTGGAAAGTTTGGAATTTCTTTAAAATCAAAGTGGGGTGTTACACTACCGTTCGACGACACGCATCGAGGGGGGTGAATCGTCGCAATCAGGCCGAATATGGCATTCGTGCAGTGACACAGGTATATTTCCTTCCTAACATAATCTTCGAGCATGCTGCCTTGTGTCCTTCTCATCTTCTTTTTACTACAGACTCTGGTTTCTATCGTGCCTCTCCTCGAGGAAGCGACGAATGGAACTGGTCGCCCAATTCCCGTGCTTGAGGGCGACAACAGGCGCCTCGAGGAGGAGAATAAAAGGTTGAAGGTCGAGAACGAGGACCTGCCTAAAACACACCACGCCTTGGCGGAGCAACTGAAAAATGATGAGATGCGCTACAAGGATGCATTGAAAGGTAAGGATAAGGCCCTCGAGGTGGAGAAGGCTAGTCGTAAAAAGGAAGTTGAGGCCGCTGCCATTACTGCGATCGAGCAGTCTCGTCGAGCTCTGTGGAGGACCCAAGTTGGTCAGACTTTCCTCCGGGCCTATCGGGAGCAGCTGATCAAAGACTACCTATGCTCGACGGCGTTCCTTAAAGAGGTTGCTGAGATGGGGATGGACTTCTTGTTAGAGGTATGCTGTAAAAGCTGTGTTTTGCAGTTTCTATCAATTCCATTTTG